CGCACACCCTCAAAACACAACCCAAATAGTCCCACACATCACCATTACTAGTTTTCTCAAGGACAAGGTTGTCATCATACCGTCGACTAAAAGCTTCGATCAACTGGCAACATCTTTCCCTCTCACCATTCACGATCTTCTTGCAGATCACAAAAACTGACACATCGTCAACCAGACCAAACCCTCGGAACAACAGCCTGTCGCATCCAAGACTACTTAGGAAAGAGAACTCATTGTGAGCACACAGCAGACAAGCCAAAGCCGGGCTAGTCGATTTACCCATTGGGATACCCACAGTTTGTTGTAGCAATCGTCCGGCAGCAGAAACAAAGGTGTGTGCAAGTTCAAAGGAGACAAAATCTAAGATCACTTGGAAAGACACCCTTCTCCAACCCTCCTAAGAAGTTTAGCTCCCTTCCCCTGTAATTTAATCGCCACAGCTTCCACTCCCCTCTCAACCCAAATATCAATCACCCAGGTTAGCGCCTTCGTGATAGATTGATGTGGGAGATTTGAAAACATCTCCTTAACATCAAATGAGGTGCCAATGACCTCAACCTTATCTGTCAATCCTTTGTTAACCCTTGCCACCGCACTCAACAATTCGTCAGCACTGCGTAAGTTCAGATTTGACCCGGCAGGCAGACTCCAAAGCAGAGCATTGACTACCCTAGACATGGCACGTCCTCCAACAATAGAAAACTATGAGTACGATGGACAAATAGGCCGCCGCCGAGACGTATCCTTATGTTTCGGCAAACAGTACGCCTTCCCAATCCCTCCATCTTTCTTCCATTTCCCAACCTGACGCAACGACTTCTCTTCATACGCCCTTCTACACCTCTCGAGCAACACATCTTCAGATTCCGAGCAGAGCAAAAACGACGGATTGCCAACAAAGAATTTACGCATTCCCACCTCGTATACTACTGGGCAACACACAAACGCATCACCCATATTGTGATCAACCGGGCTACAAACCAAACCTTGCAAGAGAGGAAGAAAAGGCAGGAGATCATCCACACTGTTGACCATTGCAGTCAAACAAGAGTTAGTTTTTAAACAGCAAGACCTCATTCACTCATCGGAGAACAACCACCGATCGATGGCGGGGAGAGAGGGATGCGAAGAGAAGGAAGAAAGCAGCTGGGACTGAAGCATAGACAAGGATCGAGATCGAGATGGTCTGAGGACATTTCTGGAGTTCTTCATCCAATCAGGAAAGACAGAAAGGTCGTTAAGGCGAAACGCGACGTGGCCATCCACACGTGGCAGGCCAGAGTCACACCCTTGGCACGAACACACAGCCTCCTCTCTTCTTGAAAAGACTCGAAAGTTGTGAATAATGTCCCCCATGCGCTTGTTCCGGCACCACACAACCCTCATCCTTTGTATCATCATCAGCTTCCAAACGGGGCTGACAGCCAGCCCAGAGACAACGGTAGTGGGTAGGCCGGTACCGCACCCTGAAGGGTACATGTGCGGTACTGGAGGCCGAGCAGAAGAAGACAAAAGTGGCATTTTTAGAGGCCCAGTGGTTGTAGGTTAGGTCTAGGTGGATACCAGTCCAACCAGTCTGGGTCTAGGGCCTGTACGGGCAATATCAGAGTCTGCAATGATGTTTCCCTCCGAAAGGGAGGAGGTACCGGTTGCTTGGAAGGCCGAGCGGCCTGGAAGTCACCGCCCGAAGAGGCAAGCAGGCCGCTATATCTCCCAGTCGGGCGAAGAGCCCGACCTCTTTTTCGGTGTGCAAGTTTGGCGACACACTGGTTGGAGCGCCGGCTAGAGCAGCACTATGCCGGAGCAGCGCTGCTGGGGAGGAAGGAGAAGGACACGAGGAAGGAAGAAGGAAGGAAGGGGGAGGAGCGCCAGGGGTACTTACCTGGCTATGGTGGCAGCAATCTTCATCACCTTGGTGGGCGCTGCAGCAGGGAGTCCCAAACTGGGGAGAGCCACACCAAGAGGCTTCGAGGCAGGGTCAGGCATGGCGGCCTGAGCTAGAGCAGCCATAGCTGCTTTGGGTTGTCCTTTGGGCATCTGGGCAAGGCCTAGTAGTCCGCCATAGCCTCGGCCTATGAGAGTGAAGAGCAGGAGAGGCGGCCATGGCTATGGTGGACCTCAAGTGATACCTGCAGTAGAAGAGGAACTCGGACATTGATTCTGGATCAGTCATTCAACATTGTATTATTATTTCTTGTATGAATAAGAGAAGGGGGAGATGGCATTGTACTATCTGATGGGTGTGTATCTCGAAATCGGACATAACAAACCAGTCAATCCCCAAAAAAAGTCCTTGGTACGAGACCCACAGAAGCGTCATCGAAAAACGTGTATCGGGAACTACAAAAAACTTTTAAAAAGAAGAAACTATCGTTCCAAAGGTACCCAGCTCGAACCGGGCAGAAAAAACATCAGCACAGTGGAAAAACCCTTGAAAACGCCGAACACATCTACAAAATCAGTTCCAGCGAAGCAATGCCAGACTCGATACTGATCTGTATCAACCAAAGAGCGACAAAAAACCCGACCTCGTTTCCAAACCCGACAGTATTGGCCACAGAACCCAACACGAAACAGTGTGACAACATTACCTACAAAGGCTCTCGGTACCCTACAACCCACAGCCCAACAAAGGCCCACAGCCTGACGGCCCTAACCTACCTTACACCCACCAGATTTTTTTTATTGAAAAAAAAAGGGCGACGACCTTTAGATATCATCATTGAACTGACCGGCCCCAGGTAATTCAGAACTATTTCATTAAACCGCCAGTACCTTTCCCATACGTCGGCCGCAGGCCCTGTGCGCCAAGTTTTCCAGCTGCATCTGGCCGGTGCGCTGGCCCAGCTGAGGCCTCCGTGTTGACTGCCGCGGGCCTTTTTTCTTTTGCCTGGGAAAGGTACTGGCGGTTTAAGCTCATCTCATTGCATCTGGATTCGAACTATTTGATCAGTTCACCGGGTGTACCAACTGAGCTACGCCCCTTGGTACACCAACCAGTTTGGGTTTCCAGTACCAAAAATATAGGCTCAGGCGTGGTGGCGGTTCAAAAGCAGGGGCCCAGATACAACATTCCTTCCCTTGCAAAGGTACTTCTTTTGCGTACTTTTTTGGGAAGTGAGGAGGTCTCTGACTGGGACATTGGAAAGGAATCAGGGAGAACGCAACCTATGGGTGAAAGGACTTAAGTGACCAGTAGCTCAGGACCTGCCCTCACAAACCTCGCTAACCACCCAGAATTTTTGACCCGTAAAGGGCCTCCCGCCACTACTCTCAACATGCACAAAAGACAAAAACTATGGCAATGTACCTTTCCATGTTCTAGCGGAAGATTCAGTCTCATTTTGCACATTTGGAGAATAGTGGAGAGAGGCCCAAACTACCAAACCAGTTTCTCTTCTCTCCTCCCTTTGTCCCTATCGTCTAATTACGGCCTTGGCATATCATTGTTGAACTGACAGGCCTCTGGTAATCCAGAATTATAGGACTTTAGTCATCTAGTTCATGAGGATTTGAACCCAGGTCTGTACTTCAAAAGTTCATGGCTGTACCAACGGAGCTAGGCTCGCTGGTCCCAAACCAGTTTCAGTTAGTGGAGTCAGAGGTTTTTCAAATTGGCTAAGGGCCAAAAGAGCCCTAAAGATGAGACTTTCTATTTTTAGACCCAGGATTCTTTATATTTTTAGACCCTGCGCTCTTTCTTTTTTTTTTTCTTTTTTTTTTAAATTGGGTTGGATCCACCCGAGGGTGCGTAGCCTAAACCGCATGTGTTCATATAGTCCGTAGACTATTCCCGTCCTTATCGAGGGAGATGCTAACCTTCTCTCGACTATTTTTAGACCCTGGACTCTTTCTATTTTTAGCCCCTGTCGAAGCCTTGTCACATCACCTCTCCGCCACACCTTTTTGCACCTTCTCTAGTACCTGGTCACTACTTTCTTCCCCCGAGCACAGCACACCCTAATCATGAGTGTATACAAACCATATGCATGGTCCTAACAGATGGTACTAAAAACCATATGTCCGGCCCGATAGAGTCATGTTGAGGAGGGTTTGTTGTGTTCGAGGAAAGACAGTAGCACAGAAATTAGGAGACTTTTTCATTCAGCAATGGCAAGAATAATCGGAGTCCCTCAGAGATATTCGTGTTTCTAATTTTTAAGGTACCACGATTCTGCACCCTTGGCCTCCTGCACCCTCCAGCAGGCCTATTGGACCGAAAAGGCTGGCGGTGCCCCGCTGGGCCTTGGGCCTTTGCCCCCGACAGCTCGGAATTTTAGGCACGGGCAAAGATCAGCATTAGGAAAAATAGGCTCGCTGTTAGTGGTTGGTTTAAACCGCCGGTAGACGACCCCAGCCTTGCTCCAAATGAACTCGTCCCCCATTCCGCACCTCGGGTCTACGGGACCACAATGGCTGGCGCCGTGAGCCAAACAAAAAAAAGTGTGCCGCTGGTGATTCAGCAAAGCTTGGTGCACAGTGGAGCGCCTCCACGACCCCCGTGTACAGGCGGGTTTAAACCACAAGTACAGGACCCCAGCCTTGCAGTCCAAAACTTGTTGCCACAAGAAAACGAGGCCGAAATGCCAAATGCTGGGCCTGCCGTTGATAAATTGGATCGGCGGCCGCGTTTTCATTCCGCGCTTCCAGAATTAGAGGTGTCAGGCCCGCGGCCCCAGGTGCCCATGTACTGGTGCTTCAAGGCTCATTGTGATCTGGTTCCAAATCTGACCTACTGGGTGAGCGATTCATCCGAAGTTTTTTGGATCCAACAGTACTGAAAAAGCCGCAATACCAACCACATATGATTGCAGACAGCAGTAACTGACTGGTCAGGGGATCATGTATCTGACCCAACAGAAAGCTTCTATACATTTATGATTAGGTCTTGCTGTGTCGCATTGTTGTTCCGGGGTAGACGAAAGGAAGTACACGCGTGTGGAGATGTCCCCCAAATAGGGGCAAACACACAAATGCCGCCCTGGAAAGAATTCACTCACCTCATTGAGCCGTCCATCGAAGTTGGTAAGCAAATTGCAGACACCTGCTGCATGGTTCAGCTGCTTCTCCAGGTGTAAAATGTAGTTCGAGCGATCCATCAAGGGTGCAATTGGGGGCTTGAGCGCATGGTCCTTCTGCAGAGAAAAAGACGAAAGCAAAGCGGATGACGACTTGCAAAGCAAAAGACCTGAAATAAAGTAATATATATTTCTGTATTATACGTATATATACATCGTCTTGCCCGGTGAACGGAAGGTTTGCGAGGTAGAAGAGGACAACAAACGAGGGGTTGTGACAGACAGACTGTTCGATGCAGTTTCACCATCTAACCAGGAGGCTGAACATGTATGCACAAACATCAAGTTGGTTCAAAATGTTGTGGGGAGAGAGAGAGAGAGAGAGAGAGAGAGAGAGAGAGAGAGAGAGAGAGAGAGAGAGAGAGAGAGAGAGAGAGAGAGAGAGAGAGAGA